TGCCCAGTTCAGTCCCTGGTGCCATCTAACAAATGTGTCCCAGAAAATAGCAAGCTATAATCCAAGAAAACTCCATGTCTGCAATGAGAATCCAGTGCTGTGAACAGCAACTTCTGCATCCCCCTGAATGACTGTCCAGGGTTAACATTCCAGGTGCCCACAGTTGCTCTTGGAAATATTTTTGTCTAGTTCCCACTTCTAGCGAAACTGAAGGAAAACAAGTGCCCCATAGAGATCTTCAGGTCTACTGGGAGTAATGTCTTTGAACCTTTACCAAAATAGATGTAACATTGTTTCCTAGGTGCTAGGGGCAGCACTTTTTTTTTGGATAAAATGCTTTCTTTATTGCATAAAAAAGCATCCGAGAAGGTTTTTCAAGGGCACAATCTCTGTAGATGCTAACATGGATCAAAGACGTAGTTGGGTGGGCGATGATAGCCACCAACAATGAACTAACTCAATGGGAGGGACTGGAAATTAGAGAGGCTTTCCTCCAGCAAATACTTATTTAGAATGATGTTGATTTGTTTTTCAAGATATACACAAAGTTACTTAGTGGAATCAAGGTTATCATGTATATTCATGAATTTAACTTTATTGAAATAGAGTATTTGTGAAACAGACTTGATTCACTGTAAGCAGTTTTTGTATCCTTAAGACGAAAATACACCATTTGTAAAAAAAAACACGTAGGACCACTGTTTTCCATCCATTCATGGTGAACTTTTTCCAAAAATGTTTTCGCATTTGCTATAGCTTTGGGAAGATTGATTTACCCCAAAGTAGCCATGTATATATATTTTCACAAAATAGTTCGAGCATTTACTCCTGTGTGAACAGTCTGCTGACCTCCCTAAACATAATCTCTGTGTCATGGAGATGTGTGTGTGTGCATGCGTGGGCCTCTCCTGCATCCTGAACTATACACCACACATTGAGCTGTGTCATTGTTTGTTTACACGTCTTGTCTCCTTTGTGACCGTGAACTCCTCAGGATCAGGAACCATCTCTATCGTTATCTCTTGGTATAAAATTCCAGGCTCCTTGATAAGCACTGAGGATTTAGCGAAGAATAAGGCAGGCTCTTCCCTCAAGAATTCATTCTAAGGCTGTATTGAAACTTTTCCCGTTTTTATGTTTCTCTTTGTCCTTGCATTATAATAGAATGCAGTGGGTAGAAACTATATTACTTAGTTCCCTGTGATCTAAAACTCTTATGTAACAATTTCACAGGGTGGCGCCTGTGGCGCAAAAGGGCAGGGCGCCAGTCCCATATGCCGGAGGTGGTGGCTTCAAACCCAGCCCCGGCAAAAAAAACAAAAAAAAAAAACAATTTCACAAATTCCTTCCCACTCTTTGAAGAAATTTAACAATCTTTACACAACTTCTCATAAAAGAGTCATTCATAGATTGCCCTATTATTATTGAATCAGTCCTAAATATTTTCCCCAATGTGGCAGCATTTCTGAGATCATCTATTTGGTCAATCATATGTATTATAGTAAGATAAGATCATATAACTCTTCTAGTATTGTCTGTTTTCATATATTATTTTTTCTTTTTATCCTATTCATATCAGGATGCACTTTTATTTCCTTTAATGCCTCTTACAGGTTGTTTTTTTTCTTTTTACACTTTACTCCCCAGAAGCTTTGGTATTCTTTTTTCTTTTTTTTTTTTATTGAATGGTAACTATGTACATTAATGCACTTAGCTTCGGTATTCTTTTGGGTTCTCTCTCCCTTTTGCCCTCACATGTTTTTGTTTTTGTCAAAGCTACTTTTCAAGGTTTTGAAAAATTAACTCAGTTTTCTTCTGGTTTTTTGATTATTTGTGGAGAGGGTTTCTTAGTCTTATTAATACTGCTTCTCAGTGGGACATGCAGCTCACTGGATCCTGTGACATTCCTACATTACAACACCATGAATGACGTTCATAATAATAGCACGAGATAACAAGGAAATGCTAAGTTGTTATAGGGGTATTTATATGATTTTTGGTGCATGCTTTTATCCTGCGTAAGAAATGGTCTTTGTCCTCTCCTATCCTACTTTCATGAGTAGTATGGATGTGAAGAAGTATAACAACACAGCCTGTCTCAGAGTACCTAAAGCTATCTGAGAACCAAGAAATGATTTTCTGCTAGAATAGTCTGAGAAGTTTTCATGAAAGATTTGATTGGAATTGGAGTTGAACCTGGGGCCTTAGAGATAATTTTAAGAGGCAAAGAGTGACAGAGATAGGCCATTCTCAGAGGGATCTGGAGGACACTTCACAAAAATGAATACATCATAGGGGCTGCCTTGGAAAGTTCGCCTGAAGCAATCATTGTTATATTGCTGGAAAAGTAGGTGAGAGATTTGGAGACGATGGTGTTTGCTAGTCTAATATTTTATACTTAATTCGGGAGAGTACAGGAATCTATTGATTCTATTAAAAAAAATAGGGTAGTGACAGGCTGAAAGCCATCACAGGGAGAAGATGATGGTGGTGGGAGGCAGTGTGGACTGGAGCAGGTTGGAGCGGGGAAACACACCCAGGAGGGAGACGGCTGCCTCAGCCCAGGTGTGAGCGCACACCTGCCTGCTGTACCTTCCTGTTGGAAAAATGTTGAGATGAAGGACAGGGATGCAGTTTTCAAAGAGGAAGCGAAAAAACAAGTTTGAGAGGAAAGATAACGTTGCTTTGTGATGGTGGATCATCCTGGTGGAACCTTCCAGCACCGAGTTTAAGGTGTGGGGCTGGTACTCATGCCCTAACATGAGAGCGTGAACCAAGTATGACTTCATACTCACTTTCCAACTACAAAAAAGCACAGAAAGCCTGTTTAGCAGACATTGTTTTTTTTTTGTTTGTTTTTCTTTCTGATCCTTCTCACTGGTCATTGTTCAGTGTTTCCTAACAGAGCAAAGACCTGGGCTTCTTTTTAAATAAGGAATGGGTGGGGGGAATTGTATGGAGTGGAAGCATCTGGTGGTGGAATACTAATTAACCCTTAGAAAATTACTAGCAGCGCTCTTTGGATGCGAAATAAATTTTCCAGGGGTGGCTAAAGAAACTCTGAAGTGAAGAGTGGTTCATCTGAAGTTCACATGCTAAATCCTTTTGTTCTTAGCCATGACCCAGGCAGTCTGGTTCCTTTCACTTAACCTTAATTTTCTATGACTCAGTAGTATCTCTGAGGAAGGTGATGGTGTATGCTTCTGTTGACGCAATTAATACACCATTATGATTTAACCTCGTGCTAAAAGGCAGTTGCTTTTATTATTATAAACGTCCTGAATTAGAATGCTAATTTAGTCAAACAATTTTGATAGGCTTATCTCAAGTTCTGATGCACAGACTTATTTTTTCACATCATGCGTCCTTAACCAGTTTTCTGCAGTTCTAAGTGGTTAGGTATTACTTCCTGTTGAATTAGCAGTTGCTGAGTAGTTGAGTCTTTGTACAATCCTGCAATCCACTAATGTGATATTTAATGAGGAGACATCAGTCTGGAGAAAGGTAGTCGATATAAATCAGTGTTTACAAAGTGTGATTAACTCTGAAATATTTCATCAATGCTGTGGTCCCAGGCAGACTATATGCTAATTACTAGAATCTGCGCATGTTTCAGGGGACTTGGACGGACCTGACGATCGCAAACATGGAGCAGCAAAATTGCAATTATGCTCGGACCGTCTCTGATGACAATTTATGCATTTGGTGTGATGACCTCCCCCTTCCCAAGAGGGCAATAAACAGAATGCATTTTCATTAAGATACTAATGCACTTAATCACAAGGGGAAAGGGTTAGGAAGTAACGAAAGACCTTCAAGCACTGTGAGACAGAGCTGATAGGGGAAGGAGGCTTTATTCTGAAGGCGGCTTCTTTACAAAGCTGCAGGGAGGCCCGCAGCACATCCCACATGCTGCCCCTTGCAGTAACTGAAAAAGTTTCACCTTCGGATCTTCTTGTTACATACTTACAATGTTAGGTATGTAGATACCACCATGAATGATGTAAGGTCTAATATGAAAGTTATTTTATAATACTTCATTCTTTTTAATAACATCATAGAGCTTGAGTACTTGGAATTAATTATGCAAATAAGATAACAAACAGGATGATGGTGATGACCGTCTTCATCATTGCCACCATCTTCATCTTTGTCATCAGAAGCATTTTCCAAGCATAAAACCGTTAGAAGGCCCTGGTAAGCTGTTGCAGCCAGAATTTGTGATTTCTGTCCTTGCCCTCCAGGAGCTTCCATAACGTCCCAAATAAGCCTGCTGGTCATTTGTCAGAATGAGGTTTATGTCCTTCAGTGTCAGAAAGACAATAGGCCCAACGCACCAAAGCTTTAACAACCGAAAGAAATCCAGGATTGATGATCCAAGAATACAGTTTTGTGTTTTGATAAACATAATCTACTTTGAAATTGCTTTAGGATCTTAAGTTTCTTGAAGACTGTTACCTGACATGGGTGGACTAAATATAATGTTTTTTGAGACAGAGTCTTACTTTGTCACCCTCAGCAGAGTGCATAGCAACCTCAAACTCGTGGGTTCAAAGGATCCTTCTGCCTCAGCCTCCCAAGTAGCTGGGACTACAGGCGCCTGCCACAACACCCAGCAACGTTTAGAGACAGGGTCTTGCTCTTGCTCAGGCTGGTCTCAAATTCCTGAGTGCAAGCAATCCACTCACTTCAGCCTCCCAGAGTGCTAGGATTACACATGTGTGCCACTGCGCCTGGTGTAAGCATAATGTTTTAAAGGCAAATTTTAAACTCAATCAGAACTTCACTGTCAAGTCTTCTCCTGGTTCAATGTGTTTTTAGTAATTACCGTCCAGCATCTGACTTGCTTTTATTTCTGACATTCATCATGAATCTCACGTTATTAATACTTTTTTTTGGGGGGGGGTTAGTATAATAGACATAATGTTGCCTTTGGGAGGCTCATATTTTCTGAGTCTAGCAAATCTAACAACTTCTTTTTTTCAAACTCTGTATTTTAGGCAATATAGAATATAGCTGCCCTGCCACGAATGAATGTGAGATCACGAAGCGCAGACGTAAATCTTGCCAGGCTTGCCGCTTCATGAAGTGTTTGAAAGTGGGCATGCTGAAAGAAGGTAAGGCACTGGGCGGCCCCTGTGGCTCAAAGGAGTAGGGCACCGGCCTCATAAGCCAGAGG